CAAAAATGGGCGTGGTTAAATAAAAATGGGCGTGGTTTATTCAAATCAGGTGTGGTTTATTTCCAAAGTGGGCGTGGTTTATGGGAAGGGGGCGTGGTCAGTGTCGGTGGGCGTGGTCAGCCCCTCCCTCCAGCAGGGGGCGGAGCCCGGCGGCGATGCCGAGGAGGGCGTGGCCTAAAGCGCGGGAAAGAGCGGCCATGACGCGCAGGAGCTCCCTGGAAATAAAATAAAATTGGGGAAAATTGGGAAAAATTGGGAAAAATTAGGAAAAATTAAACAAAATTGGGAAAAATTGGGAAAAATTAAACAAAAATCGGGGAAAATTACAGAAAATTGGGGAAAATTGGGGAAAATTACAGAAAATTGGGGAAAATTTGGAAAATTTAAAAAAAATTAGGAAAATTGAATAAAAACATGGGAAAATTACCCCAAGATTGGGAAAAATTGAACCAAAATTTGGAAAAATTGCACAAAATTACAGAAATTTGGGGAAAATTACAGAAAATTGGGGAAAATTACCCAAAATCATTGGGGAAAATTACCCAAAATCAGCCCAAATTACCCAAAAATCCACCCCCAAATCCCCCAAATCCTCCAAATTTTACCGAAAAAAGTTTCCCAAAATTCCCCAAATTTTATCACCAAATTTTACCCAAAATCCCCCAAATTTTATCCCAAATTTTCCCAAAATCCCCCAAATTTGACCCCCAAATTTTTCCCAAAATCCCGCAAATTTCACCCCAAAATGCCCCAAATTTGGGGGAACTTTGAGCAGATTTTTGGGACAATTTTGGGATAATTTTGAGGATTATTTTGGGATGATTTTGGGATAAATTTGGGCGATTTTGGGGTGATTTTTCTACCAATTTCCATGAAATTTTTGGGATAATTTTGGGGTAAATTTTGGGGTAAATTTTGGGTGATTTTTGGGGCAATTTTTGTATCGATTTCAATAAAAATTTCCATAATTTTTTTGGGACAATTTCAGGAAAATTTTGTGATAATTTTGATGATTTTTTTCGGGTAACTTTAGGATTTTTTGGGGTTTTTTTCTCTCACCTGAGCACTCTTTGCGTCCCCCACATTTCCCAGCGCTCCGGGGGTGGGGGAGGGGCGGGGCCGAGACCCCTCCCCAAATCCCA